TGTCTGGCGTTTGGGCTCATCCAACGCATAGCTTCCCTCGTCTCTCTCTCTCTCTCTCTCTCTCCATATGAAGAGCGGAATTGTTTTGATAGAAAGTAATTCAAAGTTTGCAATAATGTTAAGCAAACGGAACAAAAAGTCATTTCTATTGAATAATTGATGTCAACATGAATTTAACAATAAATAAACTATTTATTAGCGATTAAACGACAATTCATGGTAAGAGGGCTTCAAAATTGTACTAAATTGTGATATTGATAACAAATATCACCACATATTTACATATACTGTACATGTATTCATATTATTAAGCTTTTTTCGTAAATTACTTGTAAATGTACTCAACATTTAATGTACGGTAATTGCAATAACAGTAAGTATGGAAATGCAATATACAGTACAAAATACATGTACTGTAATACAAAATATATTAAATAATTCTCGAGTTTCAGTCATATTCTGGAGATGTTTTCTTCAACTCTGCTTATATTAGCTAAAAGTTTTATTTAAAACTAAAAACAAATGCATTTTTAGGTTCAGTCATATTCTGGAAATGTCTTAAACCCTAAATATTCCTCAACTCTTAATGTATAACAAAAAGTATTTTATTTTAAACTAAAAATGAATGCATTTTGAGGTTCAGTCATATTCTGGAAATGTTTTAAACCCTAAATATTCCTCAACTCTTAATGTATAGCAAAAAGTATTTTATTTTAAACTAAAAACAAATGCATTTGTTTTTAGTTTTAAATAAAACTTTTAGCTAATATAATTCTCTCCATATGAAGAGCGGAATTGTTTTGATAGAAAGTAATTCAAAGTTTGCAATAATGTTAAGCAAACGGAACAAAAATTCATTTCTATTGAATAATTGATGTCAAAATGAATTTAACAATAAATAACACATTTATTAGCGATTAAACGACAATTCATGGTAAGAGGGCTTCAAAATTGTACTAAATTGTGATATTGATAACAAATATCACCACATATTTACATATACTGTACATGTATTCATATTTTTAAGCTTTTTTTGGTAAATTACTTTTAAATGTACTCAACATTTAATGTAATTGCAATAACAGTAAGTATGAAAATGCAATATACAGTACAAAATACATGTACTGTAACACAAAATATATTTAATAATTCTCGAGTTTCAGTCATATTCTGGAGATGTTTTAAATTCTAAATATTCTTCAACTCTGATTGTATAGCAAAAAGTTTTATTTAAAACTAAAAATGAATACATTTTGACGTTCAGTCATATTCTGGAAATGTTTTAAACCCTAAATATTCCTCAACTCTGAATGTATAGCAAAAAGTATTTTATTTTAAACTAAAAATGAATGCATTTTGAGGTTCAGTCATATTCTGGAAATATTTTAAACCCTAAATATTTCTCAACTTATGAAATGTTTTTTGTGAATCTTAAATTCTTATCAAAATTGTTGTCCAAAATAATGAGTTTAAAATGTTAAGCATAACTGATATCAAAACTTGATTGAATTAATGTGTATTGATATACATAGGTTTAATCCTCTTTATTAAATAGTTTCATAATTAATACTTTATATAAACTAATAGTTATTATTTAAAAGTCAATAATTGATTAGTAAATTATTACAAATATTAAAATATACAAAATTTGGAGATCTTTTAAAAGTTATTAAATAAATACATAATAAATATTTATATAAAACAACAAAAAAAAACTAATAGTCTATTAGCGATAGTGAATGCGTTTAGTTGGGCAACAGTTGGTGACCGAAGGGCTCAGGAATTGGCGGTTAGGGTTGGGTTCAGGAATGAGACACAAGAGAGCCGACAGAGACCAGACTGTGTAGCCGTCATAAGCCATACGTACGACCCGTGGTTTGGATTCCAGCAGACCTTCGCAATAGTGTACACAAAAACGTCATTAAAATTATTATATAAATTGTTATCAACGAAAAAACTATAAATTAGTATTTGTTTGTATAATGAATACACACTCTATTGATTGATAGGAGAGGATAATCGCTGAGTCGCTGGTATTGCATATGTATTGGCAAACGGATCCGATTTATTTCGTCAATGGGTATGGCCTTCATGTTTGCCTATAAATCAATTCATATTAGTTTAAACGTTGTGTTCAACTCATTGAACGCTATTCTTGTTATTCAAACACTTAATTCGCGATCTTTTTTATCATTTAATTAATGGAAAAAATTAAAGCGAATGCAAAGGAAATTGAAAACAAAGTTGTTTTTGGCGTAAAATGAATGCGCGAAAGGAAATGATGTAAACGAAGTACAGTGTAATTGACTTTAAAATCAGTATAATTGTCATTAAAATCATTGCAATTTTTCAGAATAAATATTTATTTAAATTACATTACTCTCCTCTCTCTCTCTCTCTCTCTCTCTCTCTCTCTNTCTCTCTCTCTCTCTCTCTCTCTCTCTCTCTCTCTCTCTCTCTCTCTCTCTCTCTCTATGGCTGGCTTTTGGTGTTTACAATAGGAATGTGTGATTAAATTATCAAAAGAATTGAATAAACATTTCATATAAGATAAAAGAGAGTAAAGGGTTAACACAACACAACACACACGCCGTGAAGTGCGGTAGACATCAACTTACGAACCGATCATTAAAAATCATGCGTTAAATCATATTAAATATAGAAATTATTTAAAGCATTCCGTATTAATAGCTTTCAGAGTTAATACTTGACATCTCTTATAGATTTTAAACAAAAACAGTGCACTTAAAGAGTGAATTAAACGATTGAAATGCAAACAAATAGACTTTCATTATATTAATCAATTTAAACACTTCTGCGAAACGAATGCAAACAATTCATAAACTATTTATAGACTAAATGAAAACGATTAGTGTTTATATAAACACAGGTTTTAAGTCTTACCAAATCGTAATCATTGAACACTAATCCATATTTACTGGAAAACTCGGCGTACGATCGGAGGGGCGGCTCTTTGTCATCGATTACCAGCTTATTGTTGTCCTTTTGCTTCAATTTCTTATTTTTCACTCCTTTTAATGATTTGTCGGTCGTTTCATCCAATGATTGAACCGATATATGAAAGAGTGGCTAATATATTGATCATTCAAAATTCAAATCATCAATTTTAGAAAAAACCCATAATTTCTAATATATTACAAGTCTGTCAAAGGGTTTCCTTTTGGGATCGGCTTTCAATTGAAAGTTAGGGAATACAACCGCTTCGCCGGCGGCGTCAACACTGGCCACTGCAGACGTCCACTCGGATATTGACATATCCTTTACAATACAATAAATTATATTTATGTCACAAAAGTATAAGAAATGAGTTAGAAATACAAACCCAAACACAGCTCTTATGAGTGGTCAGACTAATGGCACTATAGTTTAAAAACCCAAAGTCTTTGAAAATTACATTGTTTTGAAAACCACTGAAAAGATATAAAAAGAAGACATTATTTTGAGGCTCAGAGACAACTAAATGCAATTGAATTACAGATAACAGTCATCATTGGCTAAAAACATTCCGTTCCATCGCATGTGTGTATCGATTGCGGTCAACAGACCTCTCTTGACGGTTGTGATGGGAACAGCTGTTAACAAAACTCAATTTCTTATTTTTCACTCCTTTTAATGATTTGTCGGTCGTTTCATCCAATGATTGAACCGATATATGAAAGAGTGGCTAATATATTGATCATTCAAAATTCAAATCATCAATTTTAGAAAAAACCATAATTTCTAATATATTACAAGTCTGTCAAAGGGTTTCCTTTTGGGATCGGCTTTCAATTGAAAGTTAGGGAATACAACGGCTTCGCCGGCGGCGTCAACACTGGCCACTGCGGACGTCCACTCGGATATTGACATATCCTTTACAATACAATAAATTATATTTATGTCACAAAAGTTTAAGAAATGAGTTAGAAATACACACCCAAACACAGCTCTTATGAGTGGTCAGACTAATGGCACTATAGTTTAAAAACCCAAAGTCTTTGAAAATTACATTGTTTTGAAAACCACTGAAAAGGTATAAAAAGAAGACATTATTTTGAGGCTCAGAGACAACGTTTACGTTAACTTAATGTCTATTGTCAGTAGTAACCGATTTTTGTAAGGCAAGGTAGCGTACACACATAGCTAACGCCAGTTGTCTGGAGAGAACTGCCAACACTACCCTTGTCGACAATTGTTTTGATATTATAATTAATATAAATATGTAAAACTCTATTTCGTATTCAATACTCAAATCTTTGAGATTCCAGAGTTTGGCCGATCGGTCGAAACTACACGACACAAGAAACTGATCGCTGGAAGTGTCGCACCATTTGATGCCATTGACGGCCGCGCTGTGAGCCATCCACGAGTTTAGTGGCCGTAATATCGTTTGACTGGCATTTTGCTCGACTATCAATAGAGACGATGTAGTGGTCAGATCCCAGACGGCAATCACTCCACTGCCATATCCGGCGACCATTAAGTGTTGTTCGTTGGATTTGATCCATGAAATACATTTACAGATTGTGTTCTCACAGTTGACTGAGTTTCCGACTCCGGGCGGGTTATTATACTGTTAGCCAAGCAATATTATCTGACATAATAGCATACTGAATAAGTCGCGAAGTCCTATACCGTGTGATACCTACGCGTGTTTCGGTAGCGGCGTGCGCTACCGGTTATCAGGGTTTGCTGCCATTGTTTGTGAGTTTTTCGGCTTCTTATAGGACAGTATATCATCAAAAGCAGTACCGCCCGGACACCACTCCATATCCCAAACTATTCCGCAACAGTGAGCGATACTGAAGGCCAGTCGGGGAGCAATTGATTTGTCAAACACTTTGTCCAGTTGTCCGACATTCCAGATCTGAATGAGTCCGCTCTCGATCTCTGTATCGTTCAGTGTATGTGTTGTCTCCCAATTCATGTTCGACGCGATCGCCAAATACTGATCATTTGAGTGGGTTTTGTGTGAGACGGGACACCAGGCGCTCGACCAGACGGGTCCGCCCACGAAGAATGTGATGTGTTGTTCCGATGAGAATGACTCAAATAGATTCAATCGCTTCCAAGACGTGTCTGCGCTGAGCGTGCATTTAAAATAAGGAGACGGTTCCGGGTTTGACATATAGGCACTCAATTCACTGTAATTTTAATTAATAATGTTATACAATATACAGTATGTTTTAATCAATAAATAGTGTCAATTATATCACATACTCTTCGGTCAATGGAATCCAAGACTGAAGAGTTGGGACTAACTTTGGAAACGCTTTTCGTTTGTAGAATCGTTGATGACTTTCCATATTAAAATAAAATTCAATCAAATGTTTGTTTGTAAGCAATAATGTGTAAAAATTAATTACAATTCAAGCGCACAATTTCCGGTCTCAATTCGTTTGACATCTTGTTTCTGTCCATTAGTATTGGCGCTTATATTAGAGAGTGTAAGACTTGACACAAACTCCAACAGATCTAATGGCAACTCTGGAACCAATTCCTGGTTTAAAATTAATACAGAAAATAAAATTATAAAAAAATAAACATAATATAATTTATATTAAATATAATGATAAAACATATGATACCTTATGGTTGTTCCAAATGTGGTGTACAATAATTTTGTTGCCTTTAATCGCTTCAAAGCCACATATTTTGCATTTCCACATGAATTTAAATTCAATGCCACACCTCTGGTAGTGATATTTAAGTCCGTAATGAGTGGTAAACTCTTTTGGTGTACAATAATTTTGTTGCCTTTAATCGCTTCAAAGCCACATATTTTGCATTTCCACATGAATTTAAATTCAATGCCACACCTCTGGTAGTGATATTTAAGTCCGTAATGAGTGGTAAACTCTTGTGTGCAACCCTTGAATACAGCAAATTACAGGTTATTGTCAGTTAATAACCAAAACATAAATCGACAATAAATATGCATTACTTCAAGAGGACAGACAACTCTGCCGTTGACAACGACTTCGTTGTGCCAATTGTTATCTCTTGGGATTTCTCGCAGAAACTCTTTGATCGAAATGACAAATTCAGCCCAAATATTGAGCAATTGTTTCAAATTGTGTTCCGATGAGTGATGAGTGCTATTGTTTGTCACATCCGTTGTATTTTTAGACTTCTTCAGTTCCTTAATCAATGCCCTCTCCTCTGGATCTGGTTCTGCGTCCACTTCTTCTTCCACTTCAGTTTCCGAACCAGAATTGTCATCGTTTTCATTGTCAGTAATGCTTCCACTAATGATTAGTTCTCCTTTTGTGCTCTTTTTAATTGTTTTTGAGGCTCTAATCAAAACAATTAATTTAATTTCATGTCAATTAAAACTAATGTTTGGTTACTTAATGGCCGATAATCTCTTTCTCGATCTACTGTGAGGTTCATCTGGTTCTTCATCAACAGTGTCCATGTCTTCGGTCGGTTCGTCTGCCGTATGTTTGTTGCTGTGAGACATTCTCATGTGATACGGAACCGACGATATCTTCAGACCCTTACCACAGATCTCGCAATTTGTATTCAATTCTTCTTCCTATCGATACAAACAAATAAAACATTAATCAGACGATTGTCTCATTCGGTGGTCTAATGGCAGCGAACGGACACTTTTGCCGCATAATTCCCAATGCATTTTCAATCCGAGACCCGATTTAAATGTCTTATCGCAGCCGACGTTATGACACTTCAAAGTTTTCATCACTTTCTGGGCTTTGATTAGAGCCTTAATAATCTCTTTTTCGGTGAACGGAGTCTTCGTGTCGTCATTGATTCGGGCCTTAAATGAAGTGCAAAATGAGTGAATCAGTCTTTAAGACATATATGGCTTACGAGTCCGTAATGTTGTCGAAAGATGTGTTCATTAATGTCTTCTTCGGCCGCAAAACCACTCAAACATTGACTGCATTTGAATTTCGATGTCTTCTCGGCGGTCGACACAGCGGTCGATGCCTTCTTCGGCGGCGCCTTCTTCTTGGGTCTGCCTTTGGATGGAGTGGTTGTGTCGGCCGGAGTGGCGTTCGCGGTGTCGGTCGCGTCCATCGGTTCCTTCTTAATGCGCTTCCGAGCCATCGGTTGTGAGTTTTGCGGACACAACTGATTGTGACAATCGATTCAATGCCTAATAACTATCAATGCATTCAAACTGCAGTCAAACTGTTTGACTCAAACACATGTCATGTAAACTATACTTCTCTATGGCTTTCAAAACAATAACATAAACACTATTTTCTCGCAAATATATCATCACTAGATGTCAGTGACTTCTAAGACATACAGTTATTCCTCGATATAGTGAACATTAGTGTTAAATGACCCTAACCCTTTACCCTTAACCCGTTTTATTGTGCACTGATTTTAATTAAATTAGTACTAAATTATATAATTCACTAAAACTAGTATTTTTCACAACTATTTCATACATTAAAATACAATGTAATTATAGATGATTTGTATTGTAGTATAAATTTCAGTAAAATATCCCACCTAAGCCCCTAAACCACGCGCGATACTCCACTACACTACACAATCATTGCTCTGCAGTGAAGGGTTAAAGGGGTAATATATTAACTATGGATAACAGTAATATCCAATGTATGGTTAACGTAATGTAAAATTAATAATGCTTTTGAAATAATTTAAATTATTAACCAATTTTAAAATGAAATATCGATTTATTTGAAATTAAATTTTACTTCTGTTTAAAATATTATATACTATTAATATATATTTAAGACACAACTTATACATCAATTAATAAATCACATATTAATAAAACATAAAATTATAATAATCTCTATTTAACTCTGTATTACATCACATTTAACTATACATTTCTGAGACTTGTTTTTGTATTAATTAAATGAACACAAAAAATATAATTAATTTTTTGTAACTATTTGTTGAGATGAGTAGCGTTTATATCCATATATAATATCACTAAATTTGTAATACAATTCAATGAATGAATTATCGTATGATTAGTTGATTTCCATAAAAAGAGGTACAATTGAGACGTTAAATACACAGTTATAATATTTTTTGTCTACAATTAGTTATCAATATATCATTAAATAATTTTTATAAGTTATTACATGAATATCTGTTTCATTTGTTGATAAATTGACATTAATTTTGATATTAATATATATCTAAATTAATACTCTTTGAAATAAATATCAAAATATAAGTTTCCTTTTCATTAAAGAAATGCATATTAATATGAAAGTCGTTTTGTTTGTTGTAATCATTTTCATTGTAATAATGGTTATTATCTCAAACTTCGCTCGATTTAATGGTAAAGTTTTTGTTTAAATGATCAGTGGTTTCATTGTTCGGACAAATTGTTGTATATTTAGACTTATGATCGGATGAGGAATTAGTGGGCATTTGTTGAATCGGTTTCTTTTGTTGCATAAAGTATTTAGTGAATGAATTCCTATTATAAGCTCGAGTGGTAGTCAACGAGTGGTTGTGGGCTGTATTGCCGTCCGGCGAACACATCTCGTTGACGGTCACTGTCGACGTCGGCGTCGAGTTAAATGTCAACGAAAATGTCTGCTTCGGAGACGTCTCGCACGTCACACGACTGTCCGTTATATTGCAATCAGAGCTGTGGACCCGACGGGTCAGCTCTTTGTGGTGATATTCATTAGAGGCCGCACTCGACGAGTGTCTCGACTTTGTGCTCGACGTCCGCCGTTTGTTCGATTGGCTAGACTTGGCGTTCGGTCGCCGCTGTTGGCTGTCGTCGGCGGTGTCCACCGAACGCGACTGTTGTCTGCGAGGAGGGGCCGACTGAGCGCTGGCCGTTTTGTTTGAGGGCTGATGTGTTTGCGAGGCATAGTTGGGACAACAGGGCTTATGGCTCTTATGGCATAACTCACAGTAATTCGTCAATTGTTCCAATGATTTCGACTCAAACTTTCCAATCAAGTGTTTGGTCTGCGAAGTGTAGGCGCTGTTCGCCGAACGAGTGGTCGCAAACACATTGTCACTGATGTTGTGCTCTAAAGGACTGGTCATATCGTCGATATAGTCTAGTGGCGGACAAATGGGATATTGATTCTCGGCGCTGAGCCGACTGCCGGTCGACTGCTGTTCCGGTGAAACACAATACGAATTGAACTCATTTTCTGCGTTATTTGGCAGAAATGAAGAGTCGATGGCATCGATATGTACCTCAACGGGTGTGACAGAGTTGGACGAACAGCTGCCGCCAATCACTGCCTCTTTGTAGCCGATGATAGAACCGGCCAACGCTTTGACACTCGCGTCGTCCATAAATGATATGTTTGTCGATCGTTCACCGAAACTAAGGGTCGCGGATGTGGTCTCGCAGTGACTGCTGAGACTAAAGCGCTTGTTTGACGACACGTCGGCCTGTATTTCCACTTTATTGAATGCGGCCGTCGATAGGGTTCCGCTGGCGATACTGCCGGCACAGGCGGCGGTCGACGAGTTCTCCCGATCGACACCCGCCCGCTCTAAATGACTTCCGCTGCCCATCGATAAGCTGGCCGACAGGCCTAACGACACTTCGCCTATACTGGGATTTACGCCACGATTGCTGAGCGCAGTGTCAACACTGACTCCATCTGAAAATGTAAACACAATTGGTTTGACACCAATGTGTCGTTAAAAATAAATTTAAAAAACTTTCATTCATTGTATTACTTAATGAATTTGAAAAATCAGTTTTTATTGTGCTTTATATTTGAAAAATCATATAAAACTCATGACTTATTTGGGAGAAAAACAAAGAATAAATTGAAATAAAAATACTTTAAATATTAAAACAATTATAAAAATTCGTTATTTATTATAACAATTATTATAAGGACTGAAAAAATAACGATAATTTTATTGTATATATAATGAAGTATAGAATGCATTCATTTATAAAAACAAAATTAAATTGAATGTTCACTAAACACAAGTCATCATAAAAATCACTGATAGTTGAGATCTGATATCATGCAGTGCTTTATAGGACGGGAAGAGCTCATCACTCACCGGCGGCCACATTAGAACCGATGCCGATCTCGTTCTCTTCGTCCAACTCGATCCGTACGCCAGAGGCAGAGGTGATGACACCGCAGCCACCGGAACGGCACAGCGATATGGGAACCACTCCGTAGACGTACGCCAACAGTATGGGAACGCCGATACCGACGGCGACCGCCGCCAGTATTGGCGACACAAAGATCGACGTCAAGACACCGGTCGTCACCAAAATGTTTCTCTTGTGGCGACTCATTTGGTGCCTCTCGAAGCGGGCGTGAAGTTTACGGCCGACCCATACGGGTATACCGATGATGATGGCGGGCACCGCTATGCCGGCGATGAGGGCTATGCCGACGGGCGCGCCCACTAACATACCCAACTGCCACATGATCTTCTTCTTGCGACTCCAGGGCTTTTTGCCCCAAAAGGTACAGCCAGAGGGCGACAAGTAATGCAAATCCGATATCTCTTTCATACAAAGCCAACAGAATTCGGTGCCGCATACGGAACACGTCATGTGATTGCATGAGCCGTCGTCCATCTTAATGATCAATACTTTACAACACGGACACGGCTTGATGTCGTCCCTCTGGACGATCGAGTCGTGACTGAACGATACGGACGAACCCTTACCGCCGCCAATGCCGGCGTATCGGAGGCCGCGTTGAGCTCTGGCGGCGTCGCACGTCTGGTTCGGATGCCATTCCTGTTTGCAGTGATAGCAGAAGGATGTCTCACAACCGGGCCGTTCGCACTTCAGACGCGGACAACTGGCGCATCCGCTGGCGATCACACAATAGCTACAGTCGGGCGCCGGACACCATCGAGCGTCCGGTTCGGTGACCAGAATTCTTCGCAACATAAATGTCTCGTATTTATCCATTAGGTTTGGATCGAAATTAAGTATTCTTTGAATATCGTTTGGATGTAACGGTTCCGAACATTCCGGACAATTGATGTTTATTCGGGACTCAAGAATCTCGATCTTCAGATACTGTTGCAGACAGTGATGACACGCCCTATGAGTACATGTGCACAGCTCTGGGAAGTTGGAGAAGGGCTGCTCTAACAGACAGAGTGGACACTCCATCGAACCGGAAGAACAGCTCGAGTTATCTACAAATGAGGGAACCGTTGCGTTAAAGTATTCGCTGCGACCGCTCGACAATGAATAGGATTCGACATCAATGGTAGAACAGGTCGGCCTGTGATGAGAAACACTCCGACTATTTGTTACGCCCTTTATGTTTGAAACATAACGAGAAAAGCATTAAAGCCTCCGCAGGAATTTCGTAGTGTTATATAACTAACAAAAGGGTTCCAAAAAAACACACTTTTTGGCGTACTTTATGGCACTTTATGGTCTCCAATACATTTCAGTGCAAATTTTA